ATATTTCTTTTTTTATCTAACGTACTTATAGTCAAAAAAAAATTTTTTTAATTTCCAAAAAGCAAAATGTCGTTAAAAAAATAATTAATTTTTTTTTTTTTTTTTGACTAGAGACGTACTGAAGAAAATCTATTCAGATCATAAATATAAGTATTGCCAAATTTTTTTTTTTTTTTTTTTTACTTTATTTTTCACAAAAATATTTTAATTTTTAATCATGTTAAAATTATTTTAATTTTTAAGTTTGTCATGTTACAGACAAATCTTATTAACATTTATTTTTTCATGTTTAAAATAATTGAAACATGGTTGAAATTATCATTTTTAACAAACATAACATTGACCAATCGAATGCATGTATTTTGTTTTTTTTAAACAATCTGAGTAGCGGAACTTTGACTTGCATAAACGACAGCACCAGTGAAATTAATGACAGCAGCGAGTACAAACACTGGAAACCATCTACCGTGAGAACTTGTCACAAGTTCAGCAGTTACTGGTCCGCAAAGAATTCCAGGGATTGTTGCAAGCGTATTGGAAATGGCAAAGGTAAGACCTGCATGATTTGGGGCAATGTCAGCATAATTACTTAAGTGACCTGCTGAATTGCAAGCGCAAAGCCCCATCGAAATGCAAACAATTCTGTATAAAAAAAAAAAAATTAATTAAAATTTTTTTATATGTAAATGTAAATAAATATGTAAATGTAAAAACTTACATTACAGCTGCTAGTAAATTATCGACAGCACAAAAAGCCAATAAAAATATACCAGGACCTAATAAACCTATAGAAGTCATTAATCTTCGTACTGACAAAACGGTCCACCTTCTATTTATAAGTTTATCAGCGAAATGACCGGCCACTGCAAAAGGTAAATTTTTTTTTTACATAAAAATTTTGTTTTCAAAAACTTAAAATGTCCCAAATCGAATTCTTTGTTCTTCTTACCGATTCCTACCAAACTATTTACAATATAGGGCATAGCAGTAAGGCTTATGCTTTCTTTATTAGCTCCTAAATTTCTTGATAAATATGTGGGTAACCACTGCATAATTATATAATTGGACCAGTTCATTGCAAAATGAGCTATATATAAAGCCCACAAAGGCCAATGTCTTAAAAATTCAGACCAACGAACATTGTGATTGGTAACCTGTAATCAATTGAATTATTAACTCTCGATAATAATAATAATAATTATGAAAATGTAAAATTTTTTAATGTGGAAACCATTAGACGATATACCTTTGGCACAAACAAAGGTATTTCATCTTGTTTAGACGTATCTTTATATAAAACCAAAGATAAAAGAACCCAAATTATGCCTAATGAACCGAATAAATAAAATCCAGACTGCCAATGAAGGTGTGGGCATATCTAAAAAAAAAAAAAAACAATAATAATGATAAATTAAAAAGAAAAATTTTCACAAAATTATATTTGTTTAATTATTTTGTTTGTTTATTTTATTTATCGTTATTTAATGACTTTGTATTTATTTATTTAATGAAATAACTTTAAAATATTGTCTTTAAAAAAATTTTTTTTATTAGATTCCATTAACTAAAATTATTTAAAATTATATTTACAATAGAAGCCACAGTTTGTCCGACAGAACCTGCAGCGACTAAATATCCAAAAGCTCTGGATCTCTCTTCTGTGGGAACATTATTGGCAAAAATATGGAATATGGTAGGTAATCCTAAAAAAAAAAAAATAGAATCAAATTAATTATTATAAATTAAAGTTATATTTTAATTTATTGGTAGTATAGTATTATTACCTAGGCCTTCCCCGAAACCTAATAAAACTCGACAAAATATAATGGCAGGTAGTGATGATGCTAACACAGGAGTTACCACTGTTGATATGGACCAAAATAAGACTGCAAATATCAAAACATTTTTGCCTCCAGACCTGCTGGCAGCACAACCCCCAATTATTTGACTTGTAAAATAACCAAAAGCAAATGCTGACAATATCCAACCTAAAGTAAAAAGTTTATTTTTCATGCAATTTACAATAGGTATAATATTTATTATCATTATTATAATTTGAAAAACTAAGATTTTTAAAACATAATAATTTGTTTGATGCATTACAGCATAAAATTTATACACAGGTGACCTACAACTGATTTAATAATGATTTCTTATAGGTAATAAATACCTTGCCAGTGCAAGTTCCACTTGAACTCATCCGTCATAGGTACAATAGCGATTGGCATAATAACACGATCCGCCGCGTTAATAAAATTAGCAGCACTACATAATGCTACTATTCTCGAAGTTTTAGCTAACATACTATTAATTTTAAATGGATAAAACCAGGTAAGGTTATGTCAAAACATAAGAAAAAGATAGTTTGACATAGTACAAAGTTTCGTAAGTAAATATTTTTTAATATACATTTGGTGCCATAACTCTAAAGTTTTTTAAATAAATTAAAAAACTTTACAAAATATACGTAAAAAAAAAAAATAAATAAATAAATAAATAAATAAAATGCTAATCTTGTACCACGACACTAGTTGACATTTCAACGTAAACATTAAGTGTTATTTAAAAATTTTGCTACGGAAAAGAATTTGCTTTGAAAGTTTTAAAAGGGTCGAACCAGAACGTACTCTTACAAAAAATGGAGATGATTATTATTTGTTTATTACATAGTATTTGTATTTTACGAATGGATATTCGTAAAAAAACAAATTTTTGATATAAAAATTTAGTCAAAAAATTTCTGTATGTATTTATAGTAATGGCAGGATATAGACGTGTTAATTACTATGAACTTTGTAGATTATGCACTTCGAGCGAGGGTACCAAAATGCATATCTTTCGTGAAGAGGGTAGACGCCGTTCTTTACCTAACAAAATTCAAACTTGTTTACCCCTTCAAGTGAGTGTTTTATTCTTAAAATTATCAAGTCTACGTTAAAAATATATATTCAATCTTAATATTGTTAAATTCTGTCTTTAATTAATTTTTTAAAATGTGAGATGAACGTTAATTGTTTTGTTTGTATTTTATGTTCAAAGTGATATCGGTTTTTAAATTTTAATTTATTTTTTGAGTAGTTATCATGTATCTTTCTCATTTTAAAATACGACAAATTTGCACAGTCGAGTATTTTAAATGTGATGGATGTCAAGCGCGATAACGTGTTATTTTATTTACAGTTGTTTTATGAAAATTTGTCAATAAACGAAATAAAGCTACTTTTTATAGATAAATTTTTTGTTTGATTATTTAGGTGCAAGAAGAGGATTCTTTACCAAAGATAATTTGTAGCAGTTGTGTTGAGAAATTAGAAAGTTATTTTGAATTTAGAGAAGCGTGTATAAATGCTGAAGCTATGCTGGAAAGTTACTTTACTTCATTAAAGTATTCAGATGATTTAACAAGAGAAGGAAAAGTTTCTGTAAGTGTAATTCGAAAAAAAAAAAAAAAATTCAATATAATTTTGCTCAGATGTTATAAAATTCATCGAAATTTTAAAATACTCAATTAAAAATTATAAATATCAGGTTTATGTGAAAGATGAGCCACCTAGAAAAAAAGATGACTCTCTGTCAGGTAAAGTCAAAATTCCAGTGAATAGTGTGGCAAGTTTAACAGATGGAAATGCCATTTTACCTTCAGCCATACAAATTTTAACTGAAACTGATGGTAACAGATTAACACAGTACAAAGTCCAGGTACATTATAAAAAAGAAAAACGAATATTTAATATTTTTACTTCTTTAAATTATAATTGTGATATTTTCGGATCAGGTGCAAGGAGGTATTCCTTCTCTAGTTCCCTATGGCGAAACAAGTAGTTTACCTTTAAGCATGTCTATTCCTACATTAACTCCACAGCCAGTAAAGCAACAGTCAGCGACGGTTAATAACAGTTCAAAATCCGATGATGGTACTCAAACTTCAACAGAAGCTACATCAGTGCCTCCACCTCCACCTTTAGTCGCAGCAGTAACCATTGCTCCATCTAATCAAGATTTACTTCAACAAATAGGACTTGCCGCCAAAGATAGGTAATAAAAAAAAAAAAAACTAATTTGTATTTTATGACAGAAAATTTTTACATTTTAATTTCTTTTATTTTTAGAAATACAATAGCCGAAGTATTAAAACTTAAAAATATAAACATATTAGATGGTGAATCGGTAGCTGTAACAAATTCTCAAATTCACACGACTCATCTCAATCAGGTAAATATTTGAATTAAAAAATTGTCAATCGTTACATATGATAAATGTAATATTGGTGTGTAATCGTTGATTTTTACTCTATGGTTTCTTTTATTTATTGTAGATGTCAAATATAATTCCCGCCCAAATCCGATTAGATCAAAATCAATTAAATCAATTAATCAATTCTAATCTGCAATTAAATTTGGGACAAATTCAACAGAACAACCAAAGGGAAAATATTTTACATGGTAAAAATGTCAACGTCGCTAGAAACGTAGTACAACAAGTGTCTCAGAATCAAGTAGTCAAATCGGATCCGGATTCTAAAAGTCAGGACGTTAAAGAAGGGAGAGAGCAAAAGGGAACAGTCACAACGGGAGCCGTGAACGGGAATAACGAAAGAATAAATAATTCGTTCGGTAATAATAAACCGATAAGTGAAATTAGAAAACAAGGTAGGTTATTTTGGACAGGAATACAAAACGAAAGATTCAAAAAAATTTGAGTTTTAATTTTTTTTTTAAATAAATGACGTTTCAAGGTGGTAACGGAGTCGAATTGGTGGCTCCTACGTTGGAAGAGGAAATCGAAGAAGGGAACGAAGGTACTCAACAACAAAGTACAAATATCGGTGACGAAAATCAATCGTACGATTGCGACACGTGTACAAAAAGTTTCAAGAGGAAGGAACACTTGTTCCAGCATAAGAAATCACATTCGGGGGAAAGGCCGTTTGTTTGCGGAACGTGTTCGAAAGCATTTTCACGTAAGGAACATTTGCTAAGGCATAACGTGTCGCACACGGGTCAAAAGTTACACACGTGCGACGTGTGTCAAAAAAGTTTCAGTCGAAAGGACAATTTGCACAAGCATAAAAAAACACACGGTATAAATGGTCCGCACGTGTGTGAAACGTGTGGGAAATCATTCGTTTTCAAGCATTATTATTTAATGCACAAAGCGCAGCACGAGAATTTTCCGAACGGAGAAAACGCGGGGGGAACGAAATATTTGACGAGTTCGAGCAGCACGACGAATCCGTTGCCCTTCAAATGCGATCTCTGTCCGAAAAGTTTTCCCATCAAGAGTTATCTGACGTCACACAGGTTGAGGCACCGGAGCAGAATCAAACAGGAAACGGAAGATGTACCGGAACAGCAATCTCAACAACCCGCGTCGAATCAGGAACAACAACAACAACAATCGTCGTCTTCCGACATAACCGTTCCCACGCCGACTATTTTAACGAGTTTTCCAACGGCGACGGGTAATTTAAATTTAGCCACGTTAAACACTCAATTGACGACGATAAATCCGAACGCTTTGCTCGCTCCCAACATAATACATCATTCGAATGCGAACGTCGTGCACATCGGTAACAATTCGTATTTATGCACGCCGAACGTAACTTCGGAACTTTTGGAACAGTATAGAAGAATTCACAGCAGTTGATATAATTAAGGGAAACCCCCTCCCCCCCAGTCTTATTTTACTTACTTTTTTTTTGTAAAAATATTTAACTTTTACTACTTTTTAGCGCTTTTTTTTTTCTATTTATTTTTCGAATGTTTTGTACGAAGAAAAAAAGGAAAATTTTTATTTATTTAGCGAAAGGCTCGAATGGTCACTTTACAAAATCCAGTAAAAAGAATTGTAATGGAGGGATCTCTTCTCTCTATCTCTCTCTCTCTCTCTCTCTCTCTCTCTATGTCTCTATTTCTCTCTCCCACTTCCTGTCTCTTTCTCTTTTTTTTAATCGAGTAAAAGTTTTATATAGAAAGAAAGTAAAAAAAATTTTTATTTTTTTTGTAATTTATTTAAATGTAATGATAATAATAATAATAATAATAATAATAATTGTATTTATTTAAAAATATATTTAAAAACCCCAGTCATTCTTCATCTTGTATATATATAAATTCATTCAGTGATTGATTGAAAATTAATTTAAAAAAATATTATTATTATTATTAATTAATTAATGTAAAAATCATCGTAATTCATATTTAAATAATAATAATAACTTCAAAAGAAAAAATTTTATAGTTTTTGAAGTTTTATTTTTTTTGCCAAATTGCTTTATTATTATTATTATTATTATTATTATTATTATTATTATTATTATTATTATTATTATTATTATTATTATTTTTATTAAAAAAGGAAGAAAAGTCAAGTCGAGTAATTTTTTTTTTTTATTTTTTATTTATTTTAAAGTACAAACTTTTATTTTATTAAAATTATAGTTTACAAAAAAAAAAAAAAAGGAAAAAAGGAAAACTTTTTATTATAAAAATTAAATAATAATAATAATAATGATAATAATAATAATAATTTTTTTTTTTTTCGAGTGAATAAATAATAAATTATTAATTAATTAATAAATAAAAAAAATGAATAAATATATTTAATGTATTTGTGAATTAGGAATAAAATAATTAATATAAATAAATCCTTTTAAAAAAAAAATCGTATTAAAATCGTAGTAATAATAATAATAATAATAATAATTAATTTTTAAATTGATCGTCTTTTATTATTATTATTATTATTTTGTTTTTCAACCGTAAAAATCTTAGATTCCTGTAAAAAAGAAAAAGAAAAAATTATTATTATTATTATTAAAGTATTGAAATTAATAAGGGGGGAAAAACGGGAAAAACCGGGGAAAAAATTTAATATTATTATTATTATTATTCATTTATTGACGATCAAGTTTTTATTTTATACATTCGACCAAAATTTTTTTTTTTTTTTTTTAAATAAACATTATTAAATTCTGGTGAATTATTTATTATTATTATTATTATTATTAATAAATGAATTTGTTTAAAAAAAAAAAAAAAAAGAATTTTAATAATTGATAATAATAATGATAATGATAATTAATTAAATTTAAATGAAAAATTTATTTTTTACATAATTTTAGTACCAATCATCATCACTCAATGAATTCTTTTTATTATTATTATTATTATTTAGAAAAATTACAAATTATTATTATTCAATTGATAAGTGTGGCACTTTTATATTGAATAATAATAATAATGGTTTTATTTATTTACGCGTTTTATTATTATTATTATTATTCACAATTATTTCACTTAACAAATTTATCAAAAATACCAATTTATTAACACATTTTATGTACATAAAAAAAAAAAAATAATAATTATAAACACATCAGCCTTTAAAAAAACTATTTAAAAAAAAAAAAAAAACAATTATTATTATTATTAATAAGATGCAGACAAAAAAAAAAAAAAAAAAGGAAAAATATCGAAAAGAAAAAAAATTTAAAGCATCCGAGTTGTTAACAAATCGTTTTTTGTCATTCGAGAGAAAATTTTCCAATTTTCTTTTTCTCGAGTTGAATTTGATGTTTGTTTGTTTGTTTGTTTGTTTTACTAAATATTAATCAGTCCCTTATATAAAAAAAAAAATTTTAATATAATTTAAAAAAAAAAAAAAATTTAGTATAATAATAAATTAACCGAAAAATTTAAATTTTTTATTAAAAAACAAATGTTTTTATAACTGAATTTTGACTATTTTCAGTGCACCATTCAGATTCAGGTTGTGCTACACTTTTTACAGGAGATGCTGTCGAACATGTGTCTGCCATATCTGGTAATTCAGTTTCTACGGATTCTTTATTTTCTACGCCATCTTCCCAATTGATTTTAAATCTTGTCACTCTCGGTTGTGATCCCAATATGTTTCTAATAATCTAAGGTAAGAATTATTTATTTTATTTGTGTGTGTTATTAAAAAAGTTTTTTTTTTTTTTTTTTTTTTTATAAATGTTTTTACCTTGTCGAATTGGGGTTGCATGGGTGGATTTTCTCTTAGTTCAACATCTGAATATTCATTATTTGTGTAATAACCAACTCTAACAAATTCTTGTGACCTATAGCAACATGTTAACAATACAACTGTTACTCCTAATACATCAGCTACTGGAATTTTAGAAACATCTGGGGGATCTGCTTGAAAAACGAACATATGTCTACCTTCAGGTATTGGACCGACATATATTGTGTCCAATACCTGATCGTATGCTTCACTTTCAGCAGATCCAACGTAAATCATTTTCCATTCTAAATCTGAAAATAAAACGTGCATACTTTGAGTTTAACTTCAGAAAAATAAAAGTATAAAATTTAACACCTAACGTTCATTAAATAGCCGGGGTAAGAACTAATGATGATTTGATTTTTTTTAAAAAAATTAATTTTTTAACATTTACCTTCTTTTAATTCTTCTATACAATCAAATGTTATTTCGAATTGAAATGGATTTAAAAAGGGAGACGGATTGTCTAAAACAACAATATTAACAATATTTACTTTCGCCATATTAACCCGAACTGGTTATATTAATTAGAAAAGACCTAAATAAATTTAATCAAAAGAGGTAAAATAAAAACGTTACGAATGTTATTTTCTAATAATAATAAAAAGTTATCACAACAATTGATTAATTCTTAACGCACTTAAGTAATATTAATTACATTCTTTTTTAACAAAATTTTGGAGGCAATATTGTCATAGAGAAAATTAATGCAAAACAAGTTATAACTTTACAACTAATGCCACGACAAAAGTTTGAAACGTTATATTTTATTTAATAATGGTAATAATTTTGTTTTGACAAATAATTAACATTACATTTATTAATTTAGTTTTATAACTTTTTAACTAATAATTATCGATACTTTTAGAATTTTATGCGTATATAAAAGAATTAAGAGGAATGAATTAAATTATAATTATTTAACAATAGGGACTTTCAAAAAGAAAATTTATTTGCAATATGTTTAACAAAATTTTATTTGTTCTTTTTTAGTTAATTAAATTTTTTTTTCAAAATTAATTATTTACATCATGAAAAAAAAATTTTTATTAAATTAATACAATTTCAAACAATGATAGGAGTCATCAGGGTATTTACTGTTACATTACATAATATTTTTTTTTTTTTTTACATCATTTGCATGATAAATTTAAAGTAAAAAAATAAAATCTAAACAATACAACTTTACTAATACCCTTTCATTAAACATTTTTTAAAATCAACACCTATGTACATATATATATTTATTTTCAAAGACATGTTTTTTTTTTTCCAGTTGTAATATTAACAAATTGCTTATTATAACAAACCATCAAAGTAATAATTTTAAAAATATATTTTAATCATCTTCGTAATCTGATCCTGTGTCTTCTTCTACTTCTTGATAATCCAATTCGAGAGCGGCTAAATCTTCTCTTGCTTCCGAAAATTCACCTGTAAAAAAAAAAAAAAAACATTTCATATAAATTTTTATTTTCATCGCTTTAAAAACAAAAATCTAATTTATATCACAGGTAATATTTTCTTAAAATCAATATACTTATTTAAAAAAATTTTATTAAAAGAAATTTTAAACTTGAACTGCTTTCGTATGTGCCAAATAAATGATAATTAACAACAAAAAAAACGCCGACATTTTACCATTTGTAACGTAAATATAATAATAATAATAATAGGGTGTAATTGTAAAAATGTAAACAATAAAGGTCAATTTTAAAATAAGTCATAGAGTAAAAGAAAATCGAACTTGCCAAATTTTGGAATATGGATTTTATTATTTAGTTTTTTGTAATGTGCATATTTGTGTGTAAAATTACCTTCTTCCATTCCTTCACCGACATACCAATGAACAAAAGCTCTTTTTGCATACATGAGATCAAATTTATGATCAATTCTACTCCAGGCTTCAACAATCGCCGTGGTATTACTTAAGCAACAAACGGCTCTTTGCACTTTTGCCAAATCTCCTCCGGGAACGACCGTTGGAGGTTGATAGTTGATGCCAACCTAAAAAAAAGTGTAAAATAGTGAAAATGTGATAATTTTAAAATGAATTTTATTAAACGAGAACATACTTTGAATCCGGTCGGACTCCAATCGACAAATTTAACGGATTTTTCTTTTTTTATCATGGCGATTGCCGAATTGACATCCTTTGGTACGACATCTCCTCTATACAACATACAAACGGCTATGTATTTTCCTTTTCTGGGATCGCAATTAACCTGAAATAAAGAAACCTATTAGGTACGTTTTTTTAAATTAAATTAATATTTTATTTTATTTACAGTTACCATTTGATTGTTTGGTTCGAAACAAGCTTTTGTTATATCGGCAACGCTGATTTGTTCATGACTTGCTTTATCTGCAGACATAATGGGTGCATAGGTTGCCAAAGGGAAATGAATTCTCGGATAAGGAACCAAATTAGTTTGAAATTCTACAAGGTCGACATTCAATGCTCCATCGAAACGAAGAGAAGCTGTTATGCTGTGCGTGGTAAGAATTTTTCAAAATTATTTTAATTATTTTATAAATCCAAACGACATTTTAACTCACCTCGAAACGATTTGTCCTATAAGACGATTTAAATTGGTATACGAGGGACGATCTATTCTCAAATTTCTCATGCAAATTTCATAAATTGCTTGATTATCAACTAAAAATGCCACTTCGCAATGTTCAAGTGTAGGATGTGTGTATAAAATTGCATTGTAAGGTTCAACAACTGCAGTAGAAACCTGATAATAATAATTTCAATTTTATTTTATTGTCTACTAAAAAAAAACAAAAGCAGATTGTTTACCTGAGGTGCTGGATAAATAGAAAAACTTAATTTACTCTTTTTAGGATAATCTACAGAGAGCTTTTCCATTAAAAGTGATGTAAATCCAGAGCCTGTACCACCACCAAAAGAATGAAAAATAAGAAATCCTTGCAAACCACCACAATGTTCAGTCATTTTTTGAATTCTATCCAATGTCAGATCTATACATTCTTTACCTGAACATACAACATCACAATTTGAACTTTGTTTAATATTTTATCCCTTGAATTTATCATTATTACCTATGGTGTAATGCCCCCTTGCATAATTATTAGCAGCATCTTCTTTCCCAGTGATAAGTAATTCTGGATGAAATAATTCTCTGTAAGCACCCGTTCGGATTTCATCTGTAAATGTTTATGTTTTACTCTTGGATTCTGCATCAAAAAAAAAAAATAATAATAATTTTCTCACCTATCACTGTAGGTTCTAAATCTATAAAAATCGCTCTTGGAACTTGTCTTCCATTATAAACTTCATCGAAAAACGTATTTAAACTATCATTTCCAACTTCGACAGTATCATCCGGAGATTTCCAACCATCTGGCATTATACCATGTTCCAGACAATATAATTCCCAACATGCGTTACCCATTTGAACACCGGCTTGACCTATGTGTATAGAAATACATTCTCTCTGTCAGAAAAAAAGCCATTTTAAAAAGCAATTAATTATTTAAATAAAATAAATAAAAATAAAATAAAAACTTTATATTTACGGATTTTATCATGCTAATAATATATTTTTAAGTTAGAACAATAGAAAACAAAATAAACTTTGAGTCAGCAATGCTGCTGGAGGAGGGAAAAAAAGGATTTTATGTTTTGAAAAATTGGTTGGTTGTTAAGCGACTAATTTACTTTTTGGCGACCCAATTTTTTTTTTAAGTAATTCCCATTTCCTTTTTTTTTTTTTTCTTAAATAAAATTGAAATTGAACTGTACTTTTGTACACACCTGTAATTTATTGTCATTTATTATTATTATTATTATTAATTTGTATAAAATTTATACATTTAATTTGTAGAAAAACAACATTTTGAATTGAAATCTTAATAATAATAATAATAATAATTGATGTTTTTTATATGAAGAATACAAACAAAGACCTTATATAAAAAATAAATGGGATTTTTTTTAATGGGGGAGGGGGGGAAGTAATTTTTTGAATTCACTCAATTTAAACAATCAAAATTTAAAAAAAAATTGACTTTATTAAATAATTATTTAGGACGAATAAATAAATAAAAGCAGAGAGCGGGCTCAAGTCAAAAAAATATTTTTTTTTATTTATCATTATTATTATTATTATTGAATTACAATTTTCAAAATCATTAATGAGTGATTGGCGTGCAAAATTTATGATTAATCGTTTTTTTTTTTTTGTTTTTTGCCCTGAAAAGAACGAAACAAAAGAAAAACAACGTATTAAATCAAATAATATCGAAAAAGGATATTTAAAAAAACATTTCGTGTTCTTTTTTTTGTTTGAAATAAGTATCAACAGGGTCGTGTCAATCAATAACGGTTAAAATCGTGTCAGTAGAAAAGATATGATAACGAGTTAAATGATTTTACTTGCTAAAATTTTACATTGACAGAGTTAAATAATTATAATGGATTTTAAATTTTTTATATTATAAAATTATTATTTTGTTGTTAAGAAAATTAATATGCAACGTTATTTTTTATTTTTTTTTAACCATTGAAACGCTTTGTTTTTTATAAAGTATATTTAATTTTATTTTTGACATCGTTGTGATAAATTTTAATAAATTTTATTTAATACTTATTTGCATTTTGTTATCCTGTTTTAAATTTTTAAAATAATCATGGATGATTGTAATGTTTATTTTCATCCACTTATTTCATTTGTGCAAAAAATGGTTTTATACGAAACGAAAACGGTAGGGTACTTATTAAAAAAAAAAATCATCAATTAAAAATTTTATTTGTAAGAGTCAGTAAAAAAAATTTTTTTTTTTTTTTTTTTTTTTTTTTTTTACAGATGTTTTATCTTATAGGTTCTAATAATTCATTAACAAGGTTTAGAGTGCTTAAAATTGATAGGACAAATCCTAGAGATTTGATAATAACAGATGATAAAAAAGAATATACACAAAATGAAATTCATCGTTTACTCGAAAAAATTGATGTTTCCAATAAAGTGCAATCGAAAAGTAGTGCCATTGGGAAAATTGTATCTGCCTTTGGTATTGTAGGTTAGATGAAAATTTTTTTCTCTCTTGTTTTCGATATACATATGTTTATTTGTTATATATATATGTCGAAGAATAAAAATTATTATCGTTTCAGGTTTTATAAGATTTTTAGAAGGATACTATATAATATTAGTTACCAAGAGGCAAAAAGTCGCTATCGTAGGTCATCACAGTATTTATAAAATTAAAGATACTGCAATGATATACATTCCAGCAGAAGGAAGAAAGAATAATCCGGAAGAACAAAAATATGTAAAAATGTTTCAAAATATTGACTTATCCAGTAATTTTTATTTCAGGTAATTTTTTTTAATGATTACATCACAACACATTGTTTTAAACATTGGTTTGAACATTATTATTTTTTAGTTACAGTTACGATTTAACTCATTCTTTGCAAATCAATATGTCTCCTCCGAAAGATTTTCCCTTGAACGTTTTTACAAATAATACGACAACATATCAAAAACATTTTATGAAAAATTCAAACAAATGTAAAGATGTTAAACAATTTGATCAGTTTCAAGAGAATAGACATGCTCTTCATTTTGGTGTTAGATCTTCACCGAATGAAAGATTCGTTTGGAATTGGCACCTACTGAGACCAATAATTAATCTTTTGCATTTAGACTGGATATTATATATTACTCATGGTTTTGTGGACCAATCGAATATATCAGTTTATGGACGTAGTCTTTATTTAACATTGATCGCTAGAAGATCTAATAGATATGCAGGCACAAGATTTTTAAAAAGAGGTGCTAATTTTGAGGTTTGCACAGAAATATTTATATATATATATATTGGACATTATGAAAATTTTACTCGCATAATTAAAAAAAACATTATTTTGATTTGTTTTCAGGGAGATGTAGCTAACGAAGTGGAGACTGAACAAATGGTTCACGACGCTAGTATTTCATCATATAAAAATGGAAATTTTAGTTCTTTTGTTCAAATGAGAGGATCCATTCCAGGACACTGGAGTCAAGACGTTTCGAAAATGGTACCGA